AATGGATGGATAAACTGCAGGTGGGAACACCTGACAGACAGACGTAGCAACAGTAACTAAGAGGGGCGGGGCAGAAGCTGCAGGTAACCATGATGATGATGATGATGATGATGATGCAGGAACTGGTACTTTGATGAGCCGTCCTGTGGCGGCGAGGCGTGTGTTGTGATGTACCATCAGCCCACTGCACTTCCTGGTCTGGGCGGGGCTTATCTCTACCAATGGAATGATGATCGCTGCAACATGAAGCACAACTTCATCTGTAAATATGAGCCAGGTGAGTGAGCCAATCAGCTTCAGCCACCGTAAACTAACCAGGTAGTTTCTTGCTACTAAATGAGCTCTTTGATGTTTCCTTCAGAGAGCCATCTGGTGAAGGAACACAGTGACACACCTGGACGGCGGGACACAGGTGAGCACAGACCTCGTCTTTTCATCCGTTTCTGTGAACCGGAGACGAACAGACTCACCTGCACACCTGCAGCTCAGAGAGAAAACAGAACCATCAGATGTGTGTTGTGTGTCTGCAGTGACTACAGGTGGAGGTGTGGTCACTCAGTCTGCAGGTGAGGCGGTTCCCTCTCAGGTCACCACAGCTGGAGCTTCAGGTAGACACACCTGTCACCTCTTGTGATGTCACTGTGATGTCACATTTTCATGTTCTCGTGTCTCTCCCCATGTTTACATGTTCTCATATCTCAGTGTTGTCACGCTGTCTTCTTCTTGTGTAGACGCTGGTCTTGTGAAAATGTTCTCAGGTTCTCGTGCTCCCTGTGCATCTCCTCAGGCATGTTGCTGCTCTACATCGTCATCCCGACCATCCCCTTGCTGCTGCTCATCCTGGTGGCTTCTGGGACGTGTTGTTTTCAGATGATCAGCAGAAGGTAAAATGGAATCAGACAACTACAAATCCCAGCATGCCCTCTGCTGCTGCAGCTTGCTTCCTGTATCCGAGGCCATTTGTGGGGACGTTCTGTTCTGTGGTGGGTTCAGGTTAATCAGGTTGACGATACTGCAGATCTTCTACAGATAGAAGAACCTCCGTGATTGGCTGTTGGCATCAGTTCAGGAGTTTGTAGCGAAGATCTGCTGAATCTGCCGTTTCTACTGAAGCAGTAAAATGGAACTGAGCCAGTTTCTGTTCAAACGCTTCACATCCGACAAGCTCTGCAAGAGGAAGTCCTGCATTCAGAATATTACCAAAGTAAAAGTGTTGCCAACAAAATGTCTTCAGATGAAGCTTCATACGTTCCTGTTGAGTTTTCAGAGTTCATTGGAGTGGATCTAAAGCCCACTTGAGAGGTTCTGGAGTTCAATTAGGAGGTTCTGGAGAGTTCATCGGTTTGTGGAGATTGTAGCTCCTCTTTTTTTTCTGCAGCTGAAGGTTTGTCAGATCTTCTGGATTCACAGGCTGGAAGTGTGTCCTAAAGCCAAAGGACAAAAACATGTCCTGTAGTTTTACAGGATTCACGTTGAGCTGATGACGCACATCTGACGGTTAACAACTTGCTTTTGTTGTGTCTTCTTCTTCTTCAATGTTTTAATGGCAGCGACTGCAGAATTAGCGCCACCTGCTGCTCTGTTAGGGTTACATTTACCTGTGGTTGGACATCAGTGTAACTGTCGTCTGTTGTCGCAGTGACCCCCGAACCAAGACCGCCGCCAACCAGTCGAACCTGTGGATCTCCAGGACGCCCAAACCCGACAGTATGGAGGTCTGACATCACAGCGCTGCACACGGCTCAGCCAATCATCATCATCATCATCGTCGTCAGGTGGTGATGTCATCACAAAGGCTTCATTTTTATGACTTCTACTGAAGCTGCTTCTGTTTTTGTCCGTTTTACTGTCATTCAAGCCTGCTGATAAATCAATAAATTAGTTCCTCCTCTTTCATTTCTCCCATCATTACCTTCCTTCCTTACATCAGTTTTTCAATCCTTATTTTTCCTCTCATCTCTCCGTCATCGCCTTCTCTTCTTATTTCATCTGTTCTTCCTCTTTTCTCTTTGCTTGTCTTTCCCTTCCACCTCTTCCTTCTCTCCTCTCTTCATCTCTGTTGCTTGTATCCTGCTGGTTGAACGTGTTGCGGTCACACGTTCAGGCCTTAAATGAGTGAATGAAGAAGCAGCTGCAATGAGGAGAAGTGGCCCTCAAGGCATCATGGGTGCTGGAGTCCCTGGGGGGGCAGGGTCGTGGCAGAGGGCGGGGCTGTTGTAAGGTTGGCGTCACCACAGGGTCAGTTTGGTTTGTCACTGATCGAGCAGCAACTCTGCAGGAGAACGTTTCGTAGATCAGACCAGCAGAGAGACGAAAAGACGAAGGAAGAGTCGGATTCCTAAACCCGAACCCAAGTGTGACGAGTTCAGTCACAAAACCTCAACTTTAAACTGCTGAAAATAAAACGGAACTAAGTCAGCTGGTGTTACTGATTCATCAATGAATTACTGTTCAGAATTTCACTTATTAAACATATAAACCAACAAGGCAGCAGAAGGTCGTGCATGTCAGTAAACGTATCATAGACCAGCTGCAGTACCTGGTTGTTCCACCAGGGGGAGCGTCTCCCTGTTTAGTCCTGTAGAGACCAGAGGAGGCGTCTACAGACTACAGCTCCTGGTGGCAGCAGAGAGCATTGTGGGAGTTTAGCAGCAACGGGACCATGACAGAGACTCTGAGGAGGTTCAGGACACACATTTTGTACTGCACGAGGACGTTCTGTGCAAGGAAGATTCTAAACACACCTTCTGGGATGTGGAGAGCATGAGCTGACCTGAACAACCTCCAGCAGCTCACAGGTCAAAAACCTGCTACAGGTTACTGAGACAACGTCCTTGTAGCTGAACAGAGAATGGACGTGTCCGTGGTAGAAAATGGTTCACTAGCACATGGACACACGTCCACTGTATGAAATTCACTTTTATCGATTTGTTATAATTAAGTATGTTTCAAGCTAGTATGTGTTCTGAGTCTGTATTTCTCCATGAAGCCTATGGTTCTTATAATTAATTAAGTTTCAAGTTATTATGTATTCTGAGTTTGTATTTTGCACTGAGCTTATGTCCTTAAAGCAACATGGCCGGTGAGAAGCGGTTCACACACCTGGAGACAGCAGAAGCTCCTCTGTTCTATCAGATAGGATTGTTGCTTTAGCTACACGCCGTACCAACAACATCCACACATGCTGCTCACCAAATATCAAGGACGTGGACAGAGCGCAGAAGAAGTATGCCTGTCCACGCCATTAGTAACTGGCCAGTTAAACTGGGTAGCGTACGAGTCTTATCTATGTTCGGGGCAGGCCCGGCCCAAGAAGATATCTGGAACCTGGAACCGAAAAAACTCAGTTCAGCTGGACATGAGAGTGTTCTCTGTCTGTCTGAATCCAGCGCTGCAAAACTTTTCATGTGACCTGAATAAACTGTTTAACCTGAGACCAGAACTTTTCTCCGACTATTTCTTGGAGCTGTTTCAACAAAAGAACTGGGTCCAACAGATTAATCAATGACTAACTGATAACTCGGCCAACTATTGGTTCCACAAGCTAGTCGTTGCATCTTAGTGCTAACACACAGCTGTGTTTGAGCTAAACGCTAATGTGTAGTATGCTAACATTAGCAGTAAACTTTAGCTGATGGGAATGTTGCTCAAATACAGCTGCAAAAAATACTGTTTGTTTTCTGGGTTGTTGTTTAAAAGTTTCCAGAGTTTAAATGTGCATCCTCAGATGCTTTGTGTAGTTTGGTCGACAGTCTAAAACTCACAGAACTCAAAGTATTCACGTGACTTTGCTGCTTGAAACCGGATCAGTCGTAGTGGATCAGGGTTCAGTGAGCCAGGTGTTGGCGCCCCCTACAGGATCCTGCTCTACTTCATTTAACCTGATTTTATCTGTGGAACAAAGAAATGTGTTGATCTTGTCCTTGAACAAAAGCTTCCCAGTAAAC